CAGAAGAGTCTTTTGTAGGATACTGATTAACTCAAAAGCTGTTGAAAATTGTTCAATGAAAAAAAAACAGCTTGCCTCCTCAACTCAGTACAAAAAAGCCTACCAGAAAATAAACCTTGCCCAAGCACATAGAACTTCCCAATAGTGCTTAACTGTAAGTATGAATGGTTAGCCAAGGATCACCAGACATTTGAAGAAACTCTTTGACATTAATACCAGAAACAAGGGGAAAAAACGAGGAAAAAAGAAGAAAGGAACATGAAAGAAATAAAATAAAATTTTAAAAGAAAAAACCAATAATATTCTAAGAAAGACATTGTCTCCATGAAACAAGAACAGAATTCTGTAACAAAGGAACATTCAAAGAACAAAAAAGAGCTTGTGGAAATTAAAACATATACAGACTTTAAAAAAAAAAAAAAATCAATACATGAGTTCAAATATCAAGTAGAATAAACCACTTCAAAAATTATAATAAAGACATGGGGCCGGCCCGGTGGCGCACTGCTACAGTGCGCCGCTTGGGAGTGTGGCGGCGCTCCCGCCGAGGGTTCGGATCCCACATACAGACCAGTTCCCGCTCACTGGCTGAGCGAGGTGCGGGCGCAACACCAAGGGTTGCGATCCCGTTGCCGGTCCCGGTCCGGTACGGGCGCGACACTGAGGGTTGCAATCCGTTGCCGGACACGAAAAAAGACAAAAAGGAAAAAAAAAATTATAATAAAGACAGACAACATGAAAACAAAATTTTCGAAGAAATAGTATTAAAAATTATTAGAATAGTAGGACATGAATCTCCACACTCAAAGGAACCACCAAACACTTAGCAGATGAATTTTAGAAGATCTATAACACTGTGTCATTTCAGTTCATGGGGAAGAAAGACGAATAAGGAACCTAAAGTTTCCAAAAAGGAGAAAGAACATGATATGTACAAAAGAAAGAGGCATCAAGATTTTTAATACCAAAACTTAAAGACAGAAAGTAAAAAGGATAACATGTTCAAAATTCTGAGGAAAAACTTGTTTAACATTTAGAATTCTAAACAGTCCAGTCTATAAGAGATACTTCAG